ACTATGAGAATTTTATACATTAAAGCACATGTTAGGCACAGAGAGGATATGATTTTTGTGTTGGATTTGTCACTTATAAAAATTTACCAGAAAAAAAAGAAATTAAAAACACAACTTTGCATATGTCAGCTAGTCAGAGTGTTTATGAATAGGTGATTAAATATCTTGAAAACAGAGGTGCAAAATTAGGTGATATATTAGTACCATTTATAAATAACATTTTCCACTTTTCAGGTTTTTATTGGGGTCTTGTAATTAATCTTTCCATTCCTTTTTGCTTCTTATTTTCTGCTACCCTTTCTTTGTTTTTGATTGATAATACTCCTCACTTATTTGCTAATATGCACTGTAAAGTTCTCCCTCTGGTGGGTGATAATTAATTGCAAACCTTTTAATTCCATAAAACTGGAGGTGGGAAGTGACTAGTTGCATGTACGACCATGACTATGTTAAAAATATTTTTACAGCAAATGTGAATAATATTAGTCCTATCTGCTGCTTGTGAATATATTTCATATTCACTGAAGCTGAAAACATTTTATTTGGGGTTTATCTCAGAGCATGTTATCTAAAACCAATTGATAATGGGGATAGTGGGTATCAGGCCAGCTGCCAGCTTTGCTAGGGCCTGGGGCAACACAGTATTATTGGGCACCCCATCTACCAATCCAAACAGCAAGCATGGCAAAATATGGCCTTTTTTGACCTGCTGTTTAATAGCCAGTCCCTAAATTTTTTTTCCTTCCATTGTGGGAGGTAGAATAGGCCACACTGCAAAAATGGTCTAGAAATAAGTAAAAATGTCTTAAATCAAGCGTATTTACCCTTCATTTTAGTAGGTAAATGGGATGATTTTCCAATGGAATGAATATTTTTACTCTTAAAATAAGATTATTAGATAATATGCACTTGAAATAAGACAATGCGGTTGCTTTTTCTCATTTTAAATGTAAATTGTCTTGTTCCATTGGCAAAGTATCTCACTTATCTCCTCAATTCAAAAACAAATGCACTTATTTTAAGAAAAAATGACTTATTTAGATTTCCATTTTTTGCAGTGCAAATACGTTTGGAATTCTCTGCCCTCTGAATTTGCTGGCAGTTCATTTGCCATTTCTGAGAAAGACTTCACTTATGCCATTAAAAGCACAACATGAACTCTATCAGAATCAGTCATTTTTGTTTTCCACAATGCGGGAACATTAAAATTAATCAGTCTCTGAGCCACTATGCTGAGTCTCTCTGATCAGGCAGCCAGCCCCTTTACCTTGTTGTGCCATAAACCATGATAATAATTTTGGACATTGAGAACCAATGTCCATGTTTCATCTTTACATTATCACTGGAGAAGAGATGCAGTTTTGCTGACCATTACTATTTCATGTATGTACAGAATTATCAGTTTGACCATGATTTGAGCTCAATTTACACTTCCATTTATGTTCTAACACACAGCCAATAGGGCGTGCGTTCCAAAAACAATATATAACAATCTGAATAATATCTGATTAATAAAGATATTTGCGTCCCCTACTCTCGCTCACGCTCCCCCCGCTCCCTGAAGCTGCGATGCCTCAGCTGGCTCTCCCACTCCGCTCTGTCTTTCAGACTGCACCTGGACCTCTGCCATCCTTCTGCTCTTTTGGTATTTCTGTAAAAGAGAAGATGTTTTCTCCCTTACACTAGCTAGCGGATGCTATACTTCACATTCATAAGCGCATTGCTTCTTACCTGGCTCTGATGGACATCATTCTTCTGCAGTTTTGTTCCTGGACCTGTTCCTGGCTCATCCTAAGTGTATTTTTAATATTTACTCCTAAAATCCCTCAAGCATTTGGTGTCATCTTCCATTTTTCTATTTTTTTTCTCTGTGTACCAGACTTCTGAAAACCTGACATTCTTAGTTTGCAGCGAAAAAAACTTTTAAAAAATTGCAGCCCGCCGCTTTCCTGGTCAAACCATTTTATGTTGGGTGGGGGGAGTTCTAATGGCCCCTTATTTAAAGAAAACATGTTACATATACCTAATGCAGATATATTTACATATTTAGTTACTCTAATATTAAATATTTTTATCACAAATATTTTCTGAAAAAATACTTCTGCCTGTATTTTTAATGGCCAGAGTATCAATTTTGGGCCCCTGTCCTGGGCTTGGGACAATTGATCCTTTTGCCACCTCCTGTCAGCAGGGTATATTGGGAAAAAAATGACATGAAGATTCTGAGAAAGAGGAAAACCACAAATCTAGGAAAGAAATGGCTAAGAAGATTTTACTGAAAATTAAGTCTTGCTTACATAGTTCTTAGTTTTTGTTTTAGCAATATTTTGCACTAGTACTAAACTTGTATAAACTATGTAATTTTACTTACATAGGATTCTCTTTGCAATCTTTCCACCACTGCACAGCACAGAGTACTGTGTAGGAGTGATCTGGTGCTGTGACATTTCCCCCTAAAACACTACTGTTTATTTGTGTTCTGTTTTAGTTAGTACTGTATAAAGAAACCAATATAAAAAAGAAAATAAATAAATGTTTACCCTTAAAGGCAGCCTAGATGCCAACATTGATCCTTGTTTCACAGCTTGATCAGAAGAGAACTGAATGCGATCCTGTTTGCAAAAGGTGTTGGTATAAAGATTTTTAACAATAATTGAGTAACAATAGTTGAGTCCAAAGTGATTTTGCGAATGGAATTACTACTTAACGTGTATTTTTTCCCCTACTTAATAAAAAAGTTGTTTTGTTATCTGTTTCTGCAGAACAGATTAAGGTTTTCACACATCATTTACAGGATGCTAATAAATGTGTTTGGCATTGTATGTTTGTTTGGTTGAACCAGAGGCAGGAGGCTGTTACCTGAATCTGCCAGTGGGCTGCAGCAGCATTATAACCATCTGTTGCTGTAGCTTGAGGCCACGGCTGATTGGTTAATGATGTTCTACAGGAGACATATTAGCCAGATCACACAGATGACTGAATCGGCTTCAGCAAAGCCTTGCAAGCAGAGCTAATGATGGCTGAAATATAAAGGCAAGACCTTTTTTATGGAGCAGTGTAGTGTTGTGAGTAAATCTATGACCTGTCAGCTTTTAAAGCCCACTATAGCCAGTAAAACATGATATAGTTCAGAAAAAGCAACATGCAGTAAAAGCAGCCTTCAGACCTCATTTTTGCAGTGCAGCTCATGCTACCATAGTTAATGGTGTACCGTAAAGCTCTCATTACTAGTTCTCTTAGAGAATGTGCCTCTTTGATTCAAATATGAATCATATGCAGCATCCTTTGGGTGTCTGTCACTATGGTTACACCAGCAGTCCGTGCAGCCAATAGGTTCTAACAAGGAAGACCAGGTTTAATTTGGCAGTAATATAGTAATGTAAAAGTGCAGGGTTTTAAAGAGGCTATGCTTCATTCCCTGTAGCTCTAAAGATTGGAATCACAATTCTTCCTATAACTTACCACCTGGATGGAGATTCCAGGTGTAAAAAAACATTAAATGTTTAACTCTACTCTCTACTGTTTGTCTGTCATTCATCAGTGAGTTCTCTCTCTCATTTTTCTTCCCACTTATAATTTTAGGGTGAGGAGTACTACATACTCTGTCACATTGACAAAAATTCAGCCCTTCATCCTCAATCCATGTTCTGCTTCTTTCAGTAACGTCTAACGCTCTCTGTCTCATTTCCCCTGACACCTCCATGGACAGAGAAAGAATGCTACTCCCTTGCCGTCTTTACAAGGCATTCTTCCCAACTCTCTCATTACTCTTCACCCACTTGTCTATGCTTGTTCCGCCTATCCAAGTATCGCTGTGGCTCCTGGTCTGTCTTTCTGCTGCTTTCCTCATTTGCTCTCCGTTACAATGTTGAGATTAGGTTGTCAATGCCATTTTAGTTCTTGATTCTTCTTGATTGTTTTAGACTCTCCATCGTCTTTTTCTAAGTCTTTTTTGTCTTTATTACATCGAACAAACCGTTTTTATAATGCCGACCTACGACCATGAGAGTCACCTTGAATAAACAATATGCAACAGTCAGAGACTAGTTCTGCATTTCCTTTCGATTTTCTTTTGTTTCTTTTATTTTCCTCCACATTTTAGTATATAGGCATTTCTTTATCTGAATGTTTCCATTTAAAAAAAAATATATAAAATAAAATAAAAACTTTAAAGTATATTATATACTAAATACAAACTTGAAAAACTGCTGTTCTTCAGGTTTGCATTGGGCCTTTTGAATTTTTCTAAAATGTGTTGATGGACTAAGCTAGATATGTTTAATATATGAAAACAAATCCCGTATTGCAGTATCTGTGAGTCTGATGGTATATTTCAAAGCTCTACTTCTACTTGTCTAACGTTGTGAGATGGGAATATCTGGCGAAACACGCAGTTCCCCACTAAACCACAGGGTTCAGCATCAGACTCAAAAACACAGAAAGTATTTTACTGAAGACAAAAACACAAAAAAAGGGAATGTTGTTGCTTTGTTAGCACGATCAATTTAACATTTATGAGCAGATTTTATGGATATTTTTTTTTAGCAGAGGTGCATCTCATGCCAAATAACAATTAATTTAAATTTGGTAATGATCCAGATCATGTGCAAGTTTAACATAGGTGTACTTCACAATATGGGGCAAAATTTGCTGTTTGGCAGAGGTCTGTCTATTTCTAGTTTTAGATAGTTATATTTCAGATGTGATTTTGTCAATTTCTCTGTTTTTCTGTACTCTGCATATCAAGAATCATTACAGTAATAACATATAGCTCTGAACAACTATGACTGTATAGCTGGACTTTACTTTGTATTAGTGTTTTCTTAAAAATGTATGCTTTTCTGGTGAATTTTTTAATTGATGATTTTTTTTTTCCAATTTTGCGCTTCCTATATCTTTACTGAGCACTTTCTTTAAAATTTTCTCATGTATTTTTTCTCCATCTTAGTTTATCTCTCCAATGTCATTTTAAACTTCTATTCTTTACCTTTTTTCCCCAGATGAGATTGAAATGCTGGAGCGCCTCTGGCTATCAGGTATCTGCCACAATGACAAAATTGAGGTGATGAGCAGTAAACTGGACATTGACAACATGGCTGGGGTCTTCTACATGTTGCTGGTGGCTATGGGCCTCAGTTTGCTGGTGTTTGCCTGGGAACATTTAGTCTATTGGAAACTCCGCCACTGCATGGCAACTAGTTCCGGCAAATTGGACTTTCTCTTAGCAATAAGCAGGGTAAGTATTTTTTTCAAAAACTCTGTTTGGAATATGTCTGCTGCTAATACCTTAGCTTTACCATTAATACCCATTTTTGCCAGCCACACTGACTTGTGACAGCTACATCTGGATAAAAATAAACCATAAATTTAGAGTATTTACAGTGCTGTGAAACGGTAGATGCTTTTTTGCAACTCGCATCTTGTGTTGCTTTTTTGACACTCATTATGGTTGACACGATTTCTGTATCAGTGTATTGCCAGATAATGATTCAATTAATCAGGGGAAAAACTTACTCAAAACACATTGACTTACTGTAGGTGAAAATAACCTCCTGCTAAACCTAAGTGGTTAGGCCTCCCTTAATGGCATAATCTGTTACTGCTACTGGTTATGGTTATGTGGCATTTCTTCTTTAACATTTTACTGGAAGTATTCAGTCAATCAGCGAGCAAAAGTCCTGTTTCCATACAATAGAGCAGTTTTTGAGGCTCTTAAGCAGCAAAGCAGGGTTTTTTTTTTCTTTGTGTTTTTTTTTCCTCTAATGAATAAAAGCATTTATTAAAAACTGCTTTTACATAGATATCAGGCAGCTTTGAGATGAAAAAGATTGTTTTTCAACATTTTGTAAATAGAACCCAGAAAAGTAAGGTTTACATTTGTATTTGATTACCCCATCAATTTTTCAAATAACCACTTCTCTCAGCAACATGCAGTCTTTACCAGCTTAGCAGATCTAAAGACTTTGTTTTCAGTCATCTACTGTATGTGAAAAATGCTAAAGCTCAGTCAGTCATATAGAGCATCTATAAACATTAATTTTCACTTTATCAACAAAGCCTATTGCTGGATTTATGTCTGGTATTTGACTGTGCTCTTTAAAGACATAAATACAGACTGATCCTATGTTTTTGATTGTAGCTATAGCTGTAGACTTATTTGAGCTGTGTGTATTTTAGACCCAAAATGTTTTCTTTTGGGTTGTTGTATCTAGCTGTACAGATCATTTTGTTAACTCTAGCCAACTTCAATGGCCATGGTTAAGAAAAGCATTCCCAATATTTGGTATTGTCACCATTATATTAACTTTGTTAATTGATTCAGGGTGTGGTGCATGTACATTTTCCATGTCCACATACTTGTTTATACAGGTCAAAAGTTTCAATTTTGTTTACTCTAAAAACCAAAGTTTTTCCTTTTTTTACTGTTTCCTGTGTTTCTGACATGAGTCTTGGCTTTCTTCTTGCCAATTACTCATAAAGGCCAGATTAGTGAAGTGCACACCCAATAGCTGTTTCATTAACAGATTCTGTGACCCGAGCTGAAGTTTCCTGCAGCTACTCAAAAATTACCTTGTGTCTCTTGGCTGCCTCTTAAATTAACACTGTCCTCTCCGCCCAGTCTATCAGTCTGTGTGTTGATAGGCTTGCATCTCTTCTACCATATTCTTTACGTTTTCATTAAAAAAGAAAAAAAATGAACAGTGATCTGAGAGATTTTTTAAGCTTGGGATACTGTTTAATAACATAACAATGCTGCAAACTTCTTAACCTGTATAACCTTTTATTTAATTAATAGTAACAGTGTAAATAGGACTGAATACAAATGTATGTCACACATTTCCAATTTTATTCACAGTATGTTATAGAAAACATTTATCCTTCCTTTTTTACTTTACAGTTATCAACAACTTTGTGTTATTTTTGTTTTTACATAAAATCCCAATAAAATGCTCAAAGGTGTGTAGATGATTTGTTAGAAAATCTGGAAAGGTTTAAGAAATCAATAAATGTCTTTAAAGGCACTGTAGGTATGGAACTGTTGTGATACTGTAGTTTTTGTTTGTCATCTGTTAGGAAAAGTTTATGATTAGAAAAAGTCAAGAAAATACTTACTCTAGCTTAAGCTGGTCAGTTTCTGATCAAATATAGAAGTTCAACTCCTTTAACGTCCTCACTATAGAATTGCGTAATTCATGCAAGGCAAAAGAGTTAGTTGATTTGTATCATATAGGTCTCTGGAGCATCCATTTTTCAATAAATAACTCATCATTTTGTTTTTTATTTTCATCTCTTAGGGCATGTACAGCTGCTGCAGCTTTGAGGATGAAACAGCACCAGGTGGCTCTAAATCTTTGCCTTCACACCACCACACAGCAATGGTTACTGTTCCATCACAGCCACATGTGGTCTCAACTACTGTGACCAACCCAGCAATTGCAATGGCGCAACAGCAGCAACAACCACAACAGCAGCAACCACCACCTGTCTTCAAAACACCTCTACCAGGCTCTCCTCCCACTGTGGTGCATTCTGGGTCAACCCTGGGTTCTTCTAACCCCCCAATTGCTGGTGCCCCCCTCCCTTGCTCCACTTTCCTGCCCAGGCCAGATCGCAGGTTAGCAGTAGTGGATCGGTGGAGGTTGCCTAAAACTGCTACAGCCACCAATCCGATGGCTGTAAGAGGGGGCATCACTGACATGGGGCCGTTTGCTCAGAAAGTTCCACAAAACTGGACTACAGCTGCTGGAGGGAGTGGGGGACTCGATGGCTATAAGAGATATTATGGTCCCATTGACCCTGAGGGACTGGGGTCCTGTATTGATCAGCAAGCAGGGTCCCAGACCCCCAAGACTATGCCAAGGGGCCACCCCCAACCCCCTCCAGCAAGTGTGGCCTTCTATTCAGAGAAGAGCATGGACCACGGGGTGGTGAAGAAGGTGGTGGGAGGTGGCGGTGGAAGTCAGGGGAAAGGGCCTGTTAAACCTGTGGGCACCCCAAGGCTGCCTCCTAAGAGTCAGGCCCCTCTGCCTCCTACACCTCCACTGCCACATCCCTCGCCCCCTCTTCCTTCATCCTTTTGGAGAAAGCGGAGGCCTAAGAAGCCTAAAGAGCCTGGAGGACCACTGTATGAGAACATTTTGCCTCTGGGGCGAAGGGGAGGAGCAAGAGATGGAATGAGGGAAGCAGGAGTGAGAAGGACCCGCCCACTTTCTCCTCCACTCTCACTCCCCATACCAGTTCCACTCAGCCCCTCCTATACCCCTCCTTCTCCTTCTGCATCTTTGCACTATACGTCCTCGTCCTCTACATCAACCACCTCAACAACGTCGACGTCTTCATCTGCCTCATCGTCTCGCTCCACCTCTCCTACCTACTCTTACAGCTCTTCTAGGAGCACACGAGACAGGACTGGCGGAATAGAAGGAGAGGACGATGATGATGATGAAGATCTGACAGAAGAGTCAAGTCTTCTCCTTGGGAGAGGAAGAGAAAGGGAGCGCTCAATCATTCGCCCACGTTCCCTAAGCCATGGCCGTTTGCCACCACCAATACCCCCAAGGAAACCACGCACATCATGGGGTGACAGAGAAAGAGAACGGGAAAGAGAAAGAGGGGGTAGCCAACTGTCTCAACTCCAAGAGTGGTGGGCAAGCTGGAGTGAAAGGGAGAGAAGTGGAGCAGGTGGGGAAACTGAAAGGCAGAAAAGGGAAAAGAAGAGGAGGAAAGAAAAGGAGAAGGAAAAGAAGAAAAAGAAAAAGAACAAAAAGAGGAAAAAGAGAGAGGAGAGGGAAAGAGAACGGGAGAGAGAGAGGAAGCGAAGGAAGGTAAAAAAGAAGAAGAAAAAGGCATTAAAAACAAAGAAAAGGAAAAAGTCTATTGGTGGAAAGCGGTCTGAACCTGAAGAAGGAGATGTTGAACAAGAGAGGGAGGGAGAAGCTGGGAGAGAAAGAGATGAAGGAATACAAGACTATTCTTCTTTTTCTGCCCAATATGGGAGCACGTTTGGAGAAAAAGGAAGAGATTCATGGGAAGGTGAGAGAGAAAGAGGCAGAGGGGAAGATGGCAATGACAGAGATGAAGATGACAGTGGAAGAAGCAGGGAAAGGCATTCCAAATCCTCGCATGCTCATTCTAGACGGCGAATTCCTGATAAACGCTACTCCAACTCAAATAAGTTCCCTGCCTCTGTTAAATTTTGGATGAATGGAAGAGGAGATAACAGCGATGCTACCCCAGTATCTCTCCACCCACTTCTCCCATCCTCTAAGAGGCGAAAAAGTGGAGGGATTGACAGAGAAGATAACAGCAGAGTTGGGGAGAGGCGTCCCTTGTTGATGCATTATGAAAAAGAAAAAACCCAAACAAGAGAAGGACTGTCTTTCCATGAATGGGACTCAGATGAAGATGATGAGGATGACGATGATGATGAGGAAGAGGAAGACAGGGAAAGAGTGAGGGAACGGGGAGAGGACAGAGGAAGGAGGGTTGGTAGAGGGGCTGTCTCTGAGTCTGAGAGAGACAGGGGAAGGGTGGACAGCTACTCAGATGAGGGTTCCTCAGGGGAATTTGGTCGTTTTGAAAGATATTGGGAAGAAAGTGCAGGAGGCGCTGGCACTGGAATCGGAGGCATAGGCGGAGGAGGCTGGTTTTTTGGCACCTATCCCTCTAGAGAGAAAGGGGGTAGCATCAATAGTAGAGATGATTCCTTACTGGGAACTCGGGCAGAGGGTTGGATTGGTACAGATTTCTGGGGATCTGGACCAGGTATTGGATGGACATCTGGTGGAGGAAGTGGAGGGCTGGGCTCACAATGGCCACCAACCCCAACTGCCTTCCCTCCACCTAGAAGATATTGGTCAATGGACAAAATTCCTGCAAAGGGAGAAAAAAAGTGGAAGAGTGGAGGTGGAAAGAGAAGAAGACGAAGCAGGGAAAGACTGGATCAGGCAGGACGGGCAACTCTGTGTTCCTGTAGTCTTTACCCCCAACCGCATCCTTATCCACATCCCCATGGACGGTCACACACCTCTAACTCCAAGAGAAGACCCTCAACACTTTCCCATAGCCAAGAAGAGCTTCTTCCCCACTGCCACAGCTTCAGTGGGGGTTCTCGTCCGAAACCTTTGCCTCCCAAGCCAGATTCCAGTCAAGCCAAATCAGGCAGCCAGTCTAACCTCAGCCTCAACACACAGCCTACAGACCATCCGCCACAGCCCTTGCCGTCACCACCACAACAGCCATCCCTGTCACCCACCTCACTCCCCATGCCCATTGCACCTCCACCCTCCTCAGCCTCTGTGTCACCACCAGCAGGGGTAGGGATGGCAGGTCAGGCTCAGGCATCAGCCAGTGCCAAACTCCAATACCAGAGACTGCGCTCTGTGCCTCAGCCACGGAGATTTTACTCTCCCCATCTACCACTCAAAGCCAAGAGCCTGTGCTCACGTCGAGGATCAGCCCACTTTTCTAGTCTGGAGAGCGAGGTATGACAGGGGGAGACGAGAGAGGGAGACGTGGGAACAAGAACCAGTGCCACTGAAAACCATGGTGCCATGGCAGCTAGAACCAGGCACAACACCAGAGATATGGCTGCCTTGGTGACCTTAGGTAATCGGTTAACAAGCATCACAACAGGAACAAACATGGACAGAGGCTCTATTGTTAATAGTACTCTCGGTGAGAGCAACACTACTGCCACCCGCTCAATTGTACGCGTTCTTATGAGGGCGACAGTGAGGTGCCACACCAGGGTGAGCTATATCAATCTGGATGGTTCCTATGATGAAGAGAGTGAAGTTGAGGCTGCATCACCGGGGACTTCGACCCCAGAACTTTTCTTATGCTCTGAACTGAGCTTTGTGATGTCATCTTCGGTCCTTCTCCCCTCCCCAAATCAGAACTGTGGATAACAGTAGTCTTCAACTTGTGAGTAATGATGTCATGTTTGCACACAAACACAAGCATGCACACACAAATGCACACAAACACAAAATTATCTCACGTCTCCTTCCCTCTGGCTTTGAGTGGGATGAGGAGAGACCCACTTACTCTCTAAAGATGCCAGTGTTTGGTCATCTTCTGGCTTCCTATCCTCATTGCCCGATGGCTTTTGACCTGGACTGGTGGACTGCTTCCCAGTGTCAAAGAGACTATTCCCTCTTCTTCCCTTTTTTAAGAAAAAGCAATGCAGTCACCTCTCTCATTCACCATCTGCCCGCTCACATTTCAATGGACAGTGAGCACAGTGCTACTTATTTGCCCTTTGGCGTCATGACTCTATCAGACCCATCTAGCTCTACCCCAGGACCATCTATATGATGTCACTTTTTATTAGAATCCCTTTTAAACAGTCAGACTGAGCAGGACCTTGTTTTTCTCCACCTCTTTGGAGCTTGTTATGACACATCTGGGCCAAGTGGAAAATATTATCAAGTAACAAAGAATTTGAACAAAACACTTCTTAACAAAAGAAGAATAACAAAATGAAGAAAAAAGACATGTAGCAGAAATTCTTTTAATGTCTGTCTTTTGCTTTTTCTTTAGACCTTTTTCCCCATCCCTTTGTTTTCTTTTGTCGATATATATTTATCAGACTGTGTTAGTGTCTTATTAAGTAGGAGGCTGGATGTGGCTAGTGTTGGGAGTGGGAATGATTCCAAAGAAGGGCCAAAATTTCACGCAAGTAATTGAACTTAAATTCCCATTTCTTTCTCCTCACATGTAAATAACTTATAATTCAGCCCAGACTGAATTATGAGTCTTAGAAGTGAATTTAGGATATGATTAGTGTAATATCTATAATTGGCACTAGATGGCTGCATAATATTTGAATACATTGGTGCAGGAAACTTAAGATCAGTCTCATAAGTCTTTAATGCATATAAATGAACAAAGACGCTGTAGCTTTGAACATAATTGTTTCTATGAAAGTTTCAAGCAAGGGTTTATTCACAGTTCAGCATATTTTAAAGCCCCCTTTAGATTTAATTATATGTTGACACCTTATTGTGCACTGACTGAGCTGGTATATCATGGATTTTTCAAAAGCACAATTTGTCATTGTATTTTTTCAAGATGTGTTGCCGCAGTTGTAATTGTACAATCTCAAGGTAACACACTTTTCCAATACAGCTTTTCACATAAAGATAATAAATGTAAATTATATGAACAATAAATTTCAGTGTAACCAACACTGAAGGGGTGAAACATGAAGATTCATAATACTATATAATTATTTGCTTTGTCTTATTCCTTTTTACCAAATAAGACAGAATGACTTACTGTGAATGTTTCCAGGTGCATATTCAGTTGCTGAGCCTTCACTGTATGCAGTCACTTAAAACTTGCATTGTCAAGATTTTCAGATGGCTGTTTGACTTTGAGCAATATTTCCAACTTGTGACAGGGATGGGGTGGCACATCATTCTAGTAGATTTTAATCTGATTTTAAGTATCAGCTCTTTGAGCTGGGGCTGGACGATCCATACCTTTAGTTGTAATTGTTTAATACTAGTTCAGTTCCTCTTCTGACTAAACTGTGTTTTTGCAGAACAGTAAATGTTGTTCTGCTTCGGCATTTCCAGTTTACGTGCAAAGAGAGGTTTCTGTGAAAAAAGGTGATATTGGTGATATTGAAAACAGTTTGCGCAATGCGAAGGGCCCAGTTTGCGCCTGCCCACTCTGGCTCTCTGTGCTAAAACCCACGAAAAACTGTGGATATTTTTTTTTTTATAGGATATTTCATTTATAAATACTTCTTTCTCATTTATTCTTTCACACTGCTTCCATTATACATCAGTAGTAAACCAATAGTTAGATTGTTGAGAGGGACAACAAAAACATTTCAGAGAAAACATGACCTACAATTGTTTATCTTCAGGCTAGCCCTTCTATAGCCATGCTCAGGATGTATATATTTTGAATTATATTGTAGTCAACCTTGAATATATTGCCTCCGGCTAGCAATGCATTGTTACCACAGTGTTTTTGATTGGATTCCCATGGATGCATTTTTTTTTCTTTAAACTGAAGAAAAATATCTGTTTGTAAGGTATATGAATTAGGATAGCTATAGCTGAAATTCACAGCATTTGACTTTAGGTGAGAAATTGAAATTATGATTGCTACATGTTAGACACAGGGTAGTGATATGTAGCATAGTACATTTTGTACTGAAAGCCATCCACATTTTAGTTGTGCCAACACTATTTTCATAACTTAAGCATATTTAATTCATGTCTCACACTAAGACCAGCCACAGCCCAGCCATTTGACTATTTTAGTTGAATGTAGCGTTGAACCGATGTAGCAAAAAGAGCACCTACTTACTCTGTAGCTTTTGTTTTTGGATGCTGTATAAAGGCTCAAAGGACAGGACAGACGGGGAGGGAAATGACCTGCCCTGCGAGGGGTTGTGCATCGTGTTTGTGCATGTCGTCACAGATTGGAGGGTTAGTCGACCTTTTCACTTTCCCTTTTTTCCACTCCTTTGCCCTTGTAGAGGCCAGACTATACCTTTTATCTGCAGGTGGATTGATTTTCTTTTGTACCTCCATGTGGGTATGTGTCTTTAGAGAAATGCTTTTGCTGTTTCACATAATTTGGAAAAAGTCTTAGACTCACTGCATGTTTCCCTGAATGAAATTGCCAAGAGTTATAATTTTAATGGTTAGTTTAGGTTTGTTTATAAGTTTTATTAGTGAACCAGGACAGACACATTTTGCTGAGGAAATAACCTTGCTCTGCTTTGCACCCCAGAAGCAGAAACCACTGCAACAGTCCAACTGTTTCCTGTTTAATCAAACACATTTCCAACCAATTAACAGGGCTTCAACAAGGTCTATCATTGAGCATTATCTATTTTTATTGGGGCACTAATACTTAAGTCTGTGACTGCATGAACACAAATGACTCTTAAAAACCCTCTGGCTTATTTTTATTTATTTAATTTTATGCTGAGAAAAAAAAGAATATATTGAAATATACTATGTTTTTGAGAATGTACCATGTTATACTGTGATTTAACTGAGATAATTTATTGTATTCAATCATCATTTGAATTCTATCATTTATCTATAAAGAAATATATATGTACAAATAAATATATACATATATATACAAACAGGTATATATATATATATTAGTTAAGTTTGGTATATTTGGAGGAAGTGTTAGATGAAATAGTTTTAATGTTTTAGCTTTGTAGCAATTCTAGACACTAAAATCATTTTTTGAATTTTGATTCCTCCTATATGACTGTGAAGACATTAGTGCCTGTGACAAAAAAGACAAGTAAAAGTCAAAAACTTTCTATTCATCTGTATCTACTATGGCTATCAGTCTGTCACACCTCTAGTACTACCTAACATTACATTTTCTTCTTTTTCACATATTAAAATGTCTCTTTTTACTTTCTGCTTTATTTTTTTCCTCTTCTCTTTGTTTTTTTTTCATTTACAGCCAATGGACCATCTACTCCTTTTTTTGATTTCGTTCACATTGTTACATGTGACTGAAATTACCTCATCAACTCAACCTTTACCTTTTTCTTGTTTTTGATCCTCTCTTTTTAAAACTTGATCATCCCTCTGTCTGTCTCACTTAGCAAAAAAAAAAAATAACAGAGACCAGTAGATACTGTGTTCTTGCTCCTTTTTGACTGATTGTTGATGATGGTGATGATAATGATGATCAGTTTACTGATTGATAAAACAATTCATGAACAATGTTACTAGTACTGATGTGACTGAAGTGTGTATTTGATGACCACACCACTGTAGCAAGTCTGGGCTGTACCACACCACCAGCAAGCAAGCAGGGCCTCAGTTCTAGGTCATGTATCACATTATCCAGCACATTGTCCAAACAAAATATATTTGAGCATTTTTGATATTAGTAATTTGGAAAATAGAAAAATAAAGAAAATTAAGGAGTATTAAGAGGCAGTATACAAAAGTGAGTTGCAAAAATATTCTTACCTATTGAATATCCTCACATTTTGGCACTTACAACAACAAACATCTATAGATTTTCGTTAATTTGTAGACAATGGTCCAACAAAAAGGTGAGTTGAATGAAAAGTGATAAATGGTTTCTAATGTGATATTACAAATAAGACCTATGTAAAGTGTCCTATGCATTTTCCCTTAGCCCAAGTAATTGGATGCCCTGATATAAGTTTTCTAAAACTACATATATATATATATATTAGGGGTGGAACGGTTCACAAAATCCACGCTTCAGTTCGATTCACGGTTTCTGGTCACGGTTTTCGGTTCGATTCGATACATGTTGATTGTTACACCGAAATCCCATAAAAAATTATGAAATTAATGAAAAAATCCCCCCAAAAAATAATGGATTGTAATTATTTTAAATGATCCGCGGAAACCCTGGATCATTTCCGTATGTTTTGCTGCTTTGAATCTAATCATCTGGCGCATGCTCTCTAACCTGACAACAGCCAGATGCATGTCTCGCT